TTGGGTAGATGATCAATGGATGTTACAAAAAAGAATAATACATTTCAAAATGCTGGAATACCCACACACCGGCATTAACATTGCTCACCATTTAATGCAAGCAATAGACGAATACAACCTTCGAGATAAAATGATGTCTATGACTTTTGATAATGCAACCTCTATGACATACACAGCTAATCTTATCAAACAAAACTTAACCGATGTACTATTAGACGGTGAAGCTCTTCATACTAGATGTGTTTGCCATGTACTTAACTTATGTGTACAGGATGGAGTTCGGGCAATTGGCCCATACTACAGCAAAATCAGAGATGCTATTATGTCTATTAATAGCTCTAACATGAGATACCAAGAATGGAAGAGTTTTCTAAAACAACAAAAGATAAGGGTAATAAAAATTAGAACCGATTGCCCAACTAGGTGGAATTCCACCTATGACATGTTAACAAAGGCAATTGAGTACAAGGGCCCGTTAACATTATTTTACAACCAAAAATTTCCACAAAATGATTTGTATGATGATGATTGGAATAACTGTGAAAGATATATGCAATTTTTACAGTTATTATATAACATGACGTATTGTTTTTCTACTGTTTACAATCCTTGTGCTCAAAACTTTCTTTCTAATGCATGCTTACTCGCCCAACTCTTCGCTGATCATCGCGATCAAAGTGATTATGATCAGTATCTTCCAGCAATGGAAAAAAAGTGGCGTAAATATTATAGTCAGATTCCTTTGATTTATATTTTTGCTTCCATATTAGATCCTAGGCAAAAGTATGAAAACACATTTATGTTAGTTGACATTTACTTTCAATGCATGTTTCTTGACGATGATGTGGAAAACTATAAGACTAATGTGAAGGATCAGTTTTTTGCTTTATATAGAGTCTATGAAGCCAAATATGGCACCGTTCCTCGCTCAGGGCCTTCCCAACCATCTAAAAACGTAAGTAAGAAGGCCAAACATTTATTTTCACAAGCTACTAACTTGATTTCAAGGTTTTCAGGTGATTCATCAATCAGGAGAACGCAAAGCGACGTCTCGGAGTTGCAGATGTACCTGAGTTACGACTTCACCAAAGGCATGGACGACGATGAGATAAACAGCCTCGACCTCCTTGCATGGTGGAAACAACAAAGCTCGAAGCATCCAACTTTGGCGGCAATGGCACGAGACATTCTTGCTATCCAAGTTTCCTCCGTCGCCTCCGAACGAGCTTTCAGCGCATCCGGAAGGGTTTTAGACGATAGAAGAACAAGTCTAAAACCCGAAACACTAGAAATGTGCGTGTGTTTCAAAGATTGGTTGGATGCGGAAAATCGCTCACAAGACCGTTCTTACGACCACAACGACAACGAAGAAGGAACCTCCGCTTCCGGTTCGGGTTCGGCTAGTTCCCAATCTATGCAACTAGCCGATGACCTTGAAGGCGAAGGCGAAGACGAAGACGAAGACGAAGACGAAGACGAAGACGAGCAAGAAGAAGGAGAAGAAGAATAGACAATTATTGTATATTGTACGATTTTAAAAATATCAATTTTATCATTTTCCAATTTTTGTTTAATACCATCATTGTATGATTTTTATCATTGTTATCATTGTACAATTTTCTCAACTCAAGTAATAATAATATAAAGTACGCATTATTCACATCCAAAGTCCAATTTGCCTTTTTTCCCCGTTTTGTTACAATTTGTAAATTCATATTAAAAAAAATAAAATTATACCAATTACTAATAAATCATAAACATTAAATTTTAAAGTAATAGTATAAAGTAAATATATAAATATAAATATTGAATATACAAATTATAAAACATAAATATTCAACTTATAATTATAAAATTCATAACTTAATAACTTATAACTTATAAGTTATAAACTTATAAGTTACCTTATAAAACTTATAATTATAATTTTATAACTTATATACATTATAAACTTATTAATTAATAATGTTGTCATTAAAAAAAAAAAAAAAAAAAAAAAATTGAAAACTGCACCAGCCCGCGCGGGCCAGCCCGCAGCCCGGCACGTGGCTGGCACGGCACGAGCCCGCCAGGCACGAGGGCCGTGCCGTGGGCTGGCCTGTGAAAATGGCCGGCACGACACGAAATCCTGGGCCCGCCGGCACGACCGGCACGGCACGAACCAGCCCGCGGCCCGCCAGGCACGGCCCGCGGCGGCCCGGCACGGCACGGTGCCCAGGATTAGTGGTCTTAGTAATATTATTTTTTTGGGAAATTCTCCTTGGTAACACCCAATTTTTCATTTTTCTTAATGGTAAATTGGTCAAAAAGTTATATCAATAGTAACATTGTATTTTTTGTTACCAAAGATAATAACTATATTTTTTAATAAAAATCATTAAACATGGTTAATATTTTTTTTTTTAATAATAAAATTATTTTTAAAATAATTTTGTTTTTTAAAAAAAATTCAACACCTCCCCAACTTACCCAGCCACCACCTAACCAACTCTCCCTTGCCGCCGCCTAGCTCCCCACCCACGCCGGCCAATCCCTCCTTCCCAAGTCAGCGACTTCAAAAAATCAGAAAACTCTACACCACCATCACCATCACTGTTAGTTTTACAACCACCAACTACATCAAAAACATCATCAGCCTCCGATGAATCATGAACGATTTCGACGGCGGCGATGGCAGAGCGTCGACGGCAGTAGCCGCCGGAGCACCGCTAAAATCACCCTCATTGCTCGACCATGAAGCCGCAACAATTTGCGCAACACTGATGTTGTACAGTTCTGGCGAGCCTAGGTGTTCAATTGCCGAACAAAGTGGAGGAAATCGCAACTATTACCGGAAAACGAAGCTCCGCAGCTGCTACCTTCTTCCCGGCCGGAATCCTGTCCCCACCCCGAATCGACCTCCCTTTCCCCTCCCCAACCCTGAATCTACCTCCCCTTCACCCTGAAAATCCCTCCAAACCCAAAACCCCCTACCTCGAACCCCCATCTGAAACCAACCATCAAACACAGCTCGAATTTCGCCATTTTTATACGAAGATCTGCAATCACATTCTCACATCAATCAACTTTGAATCACTAAAAAATTCAACATTTTCAAACAAATTATTGGTGCGGAAATCAGGGTTTCAGAAATTGCAATGTATGAGCTTGAACCTTGAGCTCGAGATCTGAGTTTTCATGGCGGTTTGAGGATTGATATGGAACGAGGAAGTTGAAGGAATTGAGTTGAAGACTAAGCAGGAACCATGGAAAATAGAGAAAAAGAAAGGGGAAAAATAGAGGAGAGAGAAAGGTGGGGGAGGCCGGCCACTAGCAAGGGTAAGGACTGGCCGCCGGCACGAGAGAGGGGGCTGGGCTCCGGCTCCGGCACCGGCGCTGACGGGGAGGGAGATGGCTGGTGGTTTTTTTTTTTAAACGACTATTTCACCGAATACCTGAGCACATTAATAATTCACCAAATGCCATTAAGGTTTTCAAAATTCACCAAATGCCACCGAGTTTTAAAAAAATTCACCGAGTGCCATTAATGACTGACGGTCGTTAATTCCCACCACTTGCCACTTTTCACCTTCTGATTGGTCCGTTTAAAAAAAATATATTTAAACAAAAATTAAAAAAAAAAAAAAAAAAAACAGAAAACCCTTGAAACCACCCCAGCCACCACCCGTTCCCTGCCGCCGAACCCCGAAACCCTGCCGCAGCAAGCCCTCCCCCTCCCCTCCCCCTCCCCTCCTCTATCCCGTCGCGAAACCCCTCCCCTCCACTCCACCGCAACCAGTCACAGCGCCACCAACAATTCTCCACCTCCCCTCACCCTACCCCCATCAGCCCCCAAACCCAATTTACACCGCCCTTACCTTGATTTATTGTTTTTAACTTTTTTTTTTTTTTTTTTTTTTTTTGGTGTTTAGAGAGCCACAAGGACAAATGATGAGAATTGATCCCAAGATCTCTTGGAATCGAGAGGAAAGCTCTAACCACTTGAGCTATCCCTCACTCTCATTTATTGTTTTAACTTTAGACATCATTCACAAACCCTACTTTAAACTTGTTTTTGTGATCTATAGTTATGATAAAATATAGCAGATGTGATGTCTCAACATATAATTTTAAGGATAGTTAATATTAACAACTGAACTTGTTCTAATACTACGTAAAAGAAATTATCAACCAAAAAGTACAAGGACCTTAAGAAAAACACAAGTATAAGGCTGTTTGTAGTTGGATGTTCTTTCAATTAGATTGTTCTTTTTTATTTTATTGTTTTTTATGTTGGGTTGATAAGTTGATTGTTGTTTATGATCTTTATCATGCTTTTGAAAGTTGATGTCATTTTTGCTTACCGTATAAAATTAGTTTTTTCTTTTACTATTTATATGGGTATAATTGTTTTCCTCCATATGTTCATTTGATCAATGTATTTTCAATTGTGTTCTTTACTCCATGTGTCTCTAAATAATTGACACAATCAAACTGTACATACATGCCGATATACAAGTTTGATTTTATTTTTATATAATTAAATATTAATAAAAGTTATTAAAAAAATTATATTATAAAACTTTAAATCAATACCTATCTAACAATATATTTCATGATAAATATGTATTTATTACGTTAGTAAAAAATTATAGTCAAAGTTAATATATGAATAGGGAAAAAAACAAAAAAAAAAAAGAAAAAAGATCAACGTGTCAATTGTATTGTTACATTATATTGTTGGTAAAGCATGATGTAGCAGTTCAGTGAGATTAGTAGTGCCTGAACTTTACCTGAGGTATGATTGCACAAAGAAGGTTGCCCGGCCTGGGTCTTCTTCAGGTATGAACATATCCGAGTCCCGAGCGCCCTAACCTTAGATTGAATGGTTAAGAAAATAGTTCATAGTAACAGCAATAATGGTGATAGATAGAATTCCAGACTCTGCCTAGGCTCTTGTTAGCTGTCTGAAAACTTTCTTCAATCAACACGAATTGATCATAAACTTTTGAATGTACGGATTGAGACAATTAAGTCGCATTTTCATAATGTAATCCAAGCTCATTCAATATATTCGAGACCAGTCTCTCTCTGTACTATTAATCACAAATTTTTACAAAGCTGAAAACTGGTCATAGTGAACTTTTCAAAAGAAGAAGGTTGGTATTACATATGTAGTATATAACATTTGACACTACGGATTATTGGAGGAGGTTAAACTGAGATCGCCTTCACCATTCACATTTTGTCGCATGCTGTTGTTTCGGCTGGATGACAAGGCCCTAGTTCTATCCTCACCAATCTCAAGCTTGCATAGAGGACATGAAGCATTGATCTTCAACCATTTGTCCACACACTCCGTGTGAAATAGATGGGTGCAAGGCAGTTCCCTTAACTCGTCATTGTCCACATAGGCTGCCAAGCAAATACAACAAAGCTGCATCCAAATTTAAGAGGGAAACCATGAGTAGCTAATTCTAAGTTGAAAATTCACAAAACAGACAAGCTGTACGATTATTAAACAGAAAGAAGAATTGGAAACATGAGCTCAAGTATGCGGAAGAAGAAGAGGAACATTACATTATTCAGCTTAGTAAAAAAATTTCCTTTCGAGTGCTACACGGTCAATCTACAAGTGGTTTGTAAGTTAATGGGATCTAGAACGTCACTGTGAACGATCACTAATCTGTGACCTTGTGGCATGGATATGTAAAATTAACTTCTATGTCAATACTACTATACTAGTACTCCCATATGTATTCCTTCAAAAGATCAGAGTAAGAACATTTATCTTACCTGTCATTTATCCTCCTATTGCCCCTCCATCAACCAGATGATTAGCAAATTACTTTAAGCTTTCTAATCCAAATTTATTTAACCCCAACCATGATTATAAAATCATAAATGAAGAATCGATTGAAACAAATTACACGACACTTACAGCATCTTCTCCAGATATGACACACTCATTCTGAGCTCCATCAGACAAAATGTCATCTTTGCTAGCCTTCAAGCATATCTGTTCATCATCAATGCTCCCATTTTTTCTTGACTTAAATTTGTAGGTCGGTAGAGCATCAATAGTTTCTATACTTGCTCCTCTGGGTTTTGAGAGATCTTCTCGAATACCCATTACTGAAATAATACAGGGCAAGCAGCAGAATATGGTAGCACATAATAGAAATGGCAACGCATACCCAATGCAGCTGAAGGTAAGGAAAACTATACATAACCTGCATAGGGCACAAAGACAGTTCACATGAGGTATAAAGATGTAGAAGATTGATGGATACTAATTAAGGTTATGTACCTATACAGCTTTGGAGCTACTGAAGGAGAGGAATGTGCCCCAAAAATCCACACATTACCCACAACAAACCACACTGCAAAGAAGCAGTCCAAGGCCATCTTGAAGTGATCCACTACTCCATTGAGTCTGCAAATGAAAAGTTTCTTATTAAGTAATGACAAAATCATTTTATGTCAACTTACAAAGAAATTGACCAAAAATCTTACCCAAGACCTGAAAATTTATAGGCTGCATATTCATCCTAGTTTAGATATTGGCCAGCTATTTTATTGACTGGATATCCTTATTCCCCACTCTGAGCTTTACTATTTCTACTTTCCTTTTTACTGTATCCATTTTACCATTACCATTACCATTCCCTTCACTTAGTGATGCATATGCCATAAAATAGTATTTGGAAATGATTAGAAAAAAAATTTCACTCCATGTATGCCCGCCAACATAGGCTGGATTTATGTCCTTTCAACTCCATCCTATTTGGAAGACCTCAGTAAGGGTAATAATCAACCTGAAGCTCTCAAGCTTTTGCAAGACGCAGTAATCCGGAAAAATGATTTAGATTCACACATGAAAACAGTTTTTTTTTTTGGTTCATAGTTCTCTAAGGTCTGCTTGACTACTATAAAAGCCAATCCACCAGAGGGAAGAGGTCTCCTTGACTACTAAAAATAATTAAATTGTTGCCTCTGTTATTTATTGTCTTTCAGCGGCAGAGTTAAAATAAGGAAATAAACAGAATTGACAGCACAAAGATATCCTTTGGATTTCCTTCCTTGCATCCATGATCCACCAGTGAATCCCTCCAATCCACCAGATATACTAATCATTCAACCACAAAAGTTATGAGCCATGATGTTTCAAAGCTTGGAAAGTCTAAAGTACAAGCCAAAAATTTATCATGCACAGTTTTTGCGAACTCAATAACTCAGCATCAGTCATCCTAGTTTTCTATATATATTTCAAATTTGAGTAAAAAACATGGATAACATGGAGGTTACACAAAACATCAGAACAGCATAGACTTCAAATGTTGCACACTGTATATGGTTCAACTTAGTCAGCAGTCAGCACATGATAAAGGGCAACCATCTTAAGCGCTAAACTCTAAACTACCAATTAGATCTTCAAGAAATTTGCATAGATTAACTACATCAGTACATCATTAACTACATCATCTCATATTGTGAGCGAACCCCCTCTGTAATTCTCTCATCATTGGCATCAACATCCAGTTCATTCCAAGTGACTAGTGTAGTCCAATTTATTCAGTTATTCTTGCCCTCCCCTTGCTCTATAAGGGAATTTTTTTAACAAATAATGAAATAAAATGCACACATTCTGGTTCGACCTCATTAAGGACAGCCACTTTTTGGATTATTCAAATGATAGAGAATTGGTCAATTAAAAGAAAAAAGCAAGACATGCTGAAACAGGGAAACCTACATGCAGTAGTAGTAGCACCAAAGAATGAAACACTCATCAACAGCATGGTTATACTATCTAGAAAATTGAAAATTCCCTAAATAACAGAGAAGTTAATGAAATGTTTTCTATAAACTAGCCCTACTACACTTGCTGTAGATTTTCCTTAGAGATTTTAATCGTCAATAATTATAAACAATGTTGACTAAAATGCATGTAAGTGAAAAAGCAACTTTCAATTAGAAGAAAGATTGCATCTAAGAACACATATGCTCTATTAACCAAATCAGAACGTTGCAGATCATATCATTTATGACAAGGCATCAATAAAAAGATTTCATCATAACTGAGCTACTAACTCAATCAAATAGATGTTTACTCTTTTCTCTTTTCCTGATAAGCATCTTTATGGCGTAAAGGCAGCTAAGATTAATAAAGAAGCTACTCAAGACTAGACATACCATATTTTAGCACTTGCCCAATCGGCCAAGATAACCTTTTGAAATGAAAGAAATAGCTTACCGTACACTAATTCTTCGTCTCAATTGACTGTTTCTAGCAACTATACGTGAATTGTCATGGCTATTTACTTCTTGACTTAGAGGTGATGTGGACACAGTAGCTTCAGCAGTGACACTCTCTGAGGAGCTCTGATGTGCTTGAACTGAAAATCGATCACGATCACGATCACGACCACGGCTGCAATTGCGAAGACGCCAATAAAGAATAGGAAGTGTTGCAAGACAACCACATGCATAGCCCACAACCCATGCAAATAGCGGGGCATCTGAACTCTTATATCTTGACAAGGACAGAATAACTACAGAAGCAACAATTTGAGCAAGAGTGACAATCAGCTCAACTGAGATCCATAGACCAGAATTCAATGGGCTTGTGTAACCATAAGAATCACCTCTCCCCACATAAGAGGGGTTTCCAGAGCTATTTCTTCCGGAAGAAGACTGTGGTGAGTTGGTTTGTTGTGTACTACTTGAAGGTCTATCTACAGTATCATGAGATTCTGCTTGATTCGATATACTTGAAGGAGCATCATTAACTACAGCAATATCAATCACATGCTGATGGCCTTCACGATCTTCCAAACGCTCCATAAGTAAAGGGAACTGGTCTCTGGATGTCTCACTATGTAATGCCAGCAGGGGAATGCCCATCTAAATCTGAAAACAAAAGCGAGTAGGATGGGCGTAGCATAGAGAGCCCGGTATATTTATACTTTCTCTATGCCTTTCAACTTCTCTCCTTTTACAAGTAGACTCGGCTTGCGTTCTGCATCAGTCACCAGACATCGCTGAACACCTAGCACCAGCAAAATATAGGACCTTCAATGTGCTTGAACAGCCAAACAAAGACTAAAAGGGCAGCAAATACAAGACCACAAGTATTGTGATAAATCTATCACTCAACCAGAATTTCACACACCAAACAAAAACTACTCTAAAAAACAAACAATTTCACATGTTCTCAAACAATAATTGCTTAATGAAGAGGTTACCATTTTCTATTTCTGCAAATTTACAAGAATCCTCACCCCATTTTTTTTTTTTTACCTTTTTTCCCAGAAATCCAAAATGGGTTATTGCAGATCCATATATTAAGCAACAACTAAATCTCATTCCATAAATTAACATAAACCCCAATCTTATAAGATAAAATTTCACAGAAAATTTTCCAATTAAACCCAACAAAAAAATACAAAAATAATTAAATAAATCGTTGTGTTATAAAACCCCATTACATTAATTCGAGCTAAGCACAAACCCATCAGTGGGAAAGTGCACAATTCCTGAGAAACTACAAATTCGATGAACTTCAACAGTAAAAAAGTTGAGCTGAAACACTACAAAAAGGCATAATCCGAGCAAATTGTGCTAAATTAAGCAGAAGATACAGAATAAAATCAAGCAAGAAAACAGAAAGAAAAGTAATAGATGCTAAAAAAAAGTACTCCGTAGATAAAATTAGAAAAAATGATGGGAATCTTACAAATTTGGTCAGACAAGTTTCAGATTTCTGAGCTGATACTCATTCTGGCCTTCTGGGTAATTAAGCTTTTGCAAAATACGTAGCAGCTTTTGGTTTGAGTATTCCTACTTCACACTATGACGCAAAACATAGAAAAAGGGGCTGAATACAAGCTTTATAACGGCAGTACTATGTTTGTTAATGTTATCTTACCCAATTGCCTCAACCATAGAATTTAGTGTGCCCTATGTTAGTATGTTACTTGAACTCGGGTGCTTGTGTCTGATTTGGATATGTGTATGGGTGTCTAAATTAGATATTTTGTGAAAGAAAGTATTTTGGCCTATAATGAAGTTTTCAAATGTATGTTCCACTAATGTGTTTAATGACAAAAATTTTACATAGATACTTGAAATAAAATACAAAGTACGAGTAACATAAATTGTACCTGAAAGTAGGACTTTCTGAGAAACTGACAATTTGACTTAGATAATTTGGGTCATTTTGTAATGAAATTTCTAATTACTTTAATTTTTTTTTAAAAAAAATTCTTTTTAAATTGTTCCTTGTTGATATTGTTAATATGGAAGTCCAGTTCAATTAATTATAATTTCTTCTTTTTTTTTTTTTTTTTTTTTGGTTAACATAGCAAAGGAAAATTTTGTTGCAAGTAAATTATTTATTCCATTCTATCCAAAATAATAACTGTTCATTGGTTTTTTGTGTTCTTTGTTAATACTTCAATGACAAATTCATCTTCATATAAGTCAATAGTGTTGTATTTGATTATTGTTTATTATTAGAAAAAGTTTAGGTTTAGTAACGAGGTAAGTATTGATCACAAAGAGTTAATTGGTGTGTTGTTTGTGTTATAAAAAAATATAATTTAAAAAAAAAGATTGGTAATTTGAAAATGAGACAAGTAGATGAGCACAAGAAATATTTGGGGATCCGTCAATTATTAGAAGAATAAAGAAGATAACTTTTGGGGACCTAACTTCTAATCGATAGAGTTTAGAAGAAACTTTAAGGATGGGAGGAGAAATTATTGTCCAAAGCAAGGAAGGAAGTTTTGCCTAAAGTGGTAATTCAGGCTAATCCAACACGATCATATAGAAATTTGGAGCCTTGATGTTTCACCAAGATAAAATCTGTCATCTCTTATGGAAATAATGCACCAACATGATCCCTACTCGAGCTGTTTTAGAACGACGTCATTTATTAGAGGACTCTTTTTAACCTTGGTGTCAAAAGGGATGACAACTTAGTTGCTTATCATCAAGCTAGATTTTTTCCTTTTGGTGTTGAGCAAGTCTGTGAGAACCATAGCTCCCTTGATATCTCCTCTTAATTGATACATGTTTTGACTTTTAACATAATTCGCAAACTCTACTTTGTCTTTCTTTACTAATTTTAATGCATAAGAAAAAATATGGTCATGTGAGATCTTATTAGATTCTTCTCAACATGTAATTTCAAATTATATATTTCTATAATTTTTACATATTGATAATTAGAGCTAATTACAATTGAATTTATGAGTTGACAAACAAGATAAAAAAAAACATATCATCTAATTTTGAACGGAGAAAATAATAAAGCTCGATAGCTAATTTGATACTACTTACCGAAAATTTTGAGCATGTATCGTGTGCATAAATACTAGTAATAATAAAGTCTTACCTATAAGGCTATAACCTAATATTTTGTATTATTCATTGAAGTTGAAAAAAAAGGGCAGAAAACAAGAAACACTTTCTTAATTCTCCATGTTGAAACTAACGGTTAATTCTTTCCCAAAAAAAAAAAAATATGAAAAGTTGATATCAGCAATAAAGTACCTTAACTGACTGATCAACCAAAGAAAAATTAAAAGAGGAAAAAAATCCGACCTGCCGGAATCGAACCAGCGACCTAAAGATTAGCTGTGTAAACCACTACAGTCTTCCGCTCTGCCAACTGAGCTAAGGTCGGATCGCTGTTTCTCATTGGTTGACAAATGTAATGAATATTGTTCAAGTACAAATGTAATTGACGACAAAGATGGTCTACATCTTAAATTAATTTGATTACCAGTTTACCACTAATACCAAGACTATAAATAGGTAAAGATGAAACCCCAAAGTTCATGCCTTTGTTATCAGTAATTAAAATAGCTTGGGTTGTCTCGACTTGAAATTCATTTTATTTCATTTGTGACTCACATTGGTAATTTTAATTTTAAAGTTTTAATATGGAATCTTTTTTGGCCTCCTTACTTGGTTTGTCCATGACATTAGAGCGGGTTGTAGGCATTTTGTCAATAATATTTTTTTTAGTTTACTTCTTCCACTCATATTAAATTGTGATTGTCATTAAAAAAAAATGGTCAGATACACATATATCAAGAATTCAGTAACCAATTATTTGATTCTAGAGGTTTAATATGCATAATATTAGGAAGACTAGTTCAGTGGATAGATAATGTTGCATTGATAATTTTAGCATTTTTCAAAAGTGGAATTGTTTTTCATTATTGTTTCTTACGTTTCTTTCTTTTTTTTTTTTGAATAAATTGTTTCTTACATTTCTGAATACTTGTAACATTTTGATTAGCACACTTGTTACAATAGAAGCAGCAACAACAACAATAATTGATTTTTATGTATTAGTAAGAAAACATGGTCAAAGTTATTCTTATATCTTTGACAATAGGTCGAGTGCCATGTGTAGAAAGTCAAATATAATTGTTTTTTTCAAATACTATTGTGCCAAGCATTATTTCAACTATGCATAAGCTCTTTTAGACGTCTTGTACTTTAAACCATGTAGGTAGCGAATGTTGGGGTGTCAACCTTAGACCCACATCGAAGAAAAAAAAAGTTTTTCATTTTCGTTACCAAATGTCTTGTACATTAAATCATGTAAGTACCAAATGAGTAAATGTATTAATTTTCAATTTGCTGCATTAATTATTTCTTTTGAGCGAAAAAATGCAAACTAGCTAACCTTCAAGTTATTAAAAAGGGAAACCTTTTTTTGTATAAATTAATAGATTAAGTATTTTACTACGTATATAAATTTTTTTAAAGCTAAACTTAAAGTTGTTTAAATGAAAAACTTTCTCAAATATCAATTATCTACCTAACTCCATACTAAATGTATGATTAATTATTTCTCTTAGCAGAACTTTTAAAAACTGCAAATAAGCTAAACTTTAATTGTTTAAGTTTTATTAAAGACTTAGAAAGAGTATGGTATTAATAAAAGAAAAAGAAAAAGAAAAAAAAAAAAAAAGATGATCTGTCGGGACCAGGATATTGAACCTGACGTGAATCGAACACGCAACCTTCTGATCTGGAGTCAGACGCGCTACCATTGCGCCACAGATCCCCGTTGAATTTATTACACTTTATTTGTTATTTATTCTAATTAAATTTTACATCTTGCACTAAAATGAAATTAAATAGTTCGAATCATTTAAGTTATGAACAACGATTTTAATCATCTAATGTCATCTATAAATGGATATGGTCCAAAGTTTGATCAAATATATGTCTCGGTGTTAGGAATTGGATTGATTTTCCAATTTCAAAATATTTTTTTTTTACATATAAGCATTGTTATTAAAATCTCGATTTAAATCTTAAAATCTTACGATTTTACGATTCATGTATATCATACGTTTCGATTTACGATTCTACCTGATTTTACGTAATTTTCTTAACTAGCGAAATCCTTACAAGTGGTTGCTTAATGGGTAAACAACTATTTTCTATTAATAATTAGGTTTCAAAATCATAATTTAAATATATTCAATTAAATATGGATATGACGTCTTAATAATGCATGTCCGTAGAATCTAGATTCGATTTTAAGATTTGACTCTGAGAGCCCGTAGAATCCCGATTTTGATAACTTTGCATATAAGCATATGTTCATATCATCATATATAGCTAATGTAGGGGATATTGTGGTAGTTTGCTACTCTCTCGTTTCTAAAATAAAACCCAATAACTTCTCCAACATAATTTTTTTTAATCAACATAATCATCTCCTAGCAGATCATTACTGTATTTGCTGATTTTGAAGTAACAGTTCAAGGCTTGAGAATTCAGAACTTCTAGCAAATTTTCTTATATCTGCACGTTCTATGCTTGCTTTACAGTAAAATACAGATGTAAATCATGTAATTCAATTCGGAAGACAGTACTTTAAAAGAAAAACTATCAGCAGTTGAATTGATAATTTAACTCCAGTAGAAAATCCAGTAAAGAATAAGTAAAAAAATTACATGGAAACAAGAAAAGCAAAAATTGCAAAATTCATCTGCTTCCTTGTCAAAACAGAAGCAAAAATGGGAGATAAATCAGATAATTCAGATTGCAGCATTATAATAGCCTCTGACTTGGATGTAACGAGGAGCTATAACAAGATATAGTACAGTATACAGGAAAGGTCTCTCAGTCATCAACTTCAGCCTTGATCTCCTTCTGAAGGTCCTCCTTATACTCCTCAAATGATCCAGGAAATGTTCTCACTGTCCCATTATCGACAATCCAAATCTGGCTCCTCTCTTCATCATCACAAACCCGTGAAATCAGCCGAGAATCATGACTAACCAACACAACACCTCCGGTGAATTCATCTAGTGCGTCAGCAAGTGCATCGATACTCTGCATATCCAAGTGATTTGTGGGTTCATCTAACATTAGTATATGGGGCTTTGACATTGATATGGAAGTAAAAACCACCCGAGCTTTTTGACCTCCTGATAATTTTGCTATCGGGCTAAGGTGGTTATGACTAGAAAGCCCGAATTTCCCAAGCTTAGCTCGGACAGCTTCTTGCTTGCTCATCCCTTCTTGGTCAGGGTGTAAACGAAGGAGATATTGAACAGGGTTTTCATCCATTGTTAAAAGATCAACAAAGTGCTGTGAATACCTTCCTATCCTCAGCTTCTGACTCTGCCTCGACTCCCCTTCGCTAGGGCTTAAATCACCTGCCAAAAGATTGAGCAGGGTTGATTTGCCAGCACCATTGGGCCCCACTATAGCAACACGGGTACCCATATCGATACCCACATCAACATTTGAAAGCCTGAAATCAGGTCGGTTAGGGTAGCTAAAACTGACTTCAATGAGCTGAAGTAGTGGAGGAGTGAGCTCAGTGGGTTCTGGGAAGTGAAACTCCACTGTGTAATCTCTCCATTTGCTCGGGGCTTCTTGAACTGCTTCATCTTCATCCACTTTTCCTTTTGATTTTTTCTTTGACACTTCTTTTGCTGCTGCAAACTTTGCTCTCTCT